TGGAAAACCAACCCTTGAAGGGACAGGTTGGATTTTTTTCACCATTTCACTTACAACATTATTATTTTCTGGGATGGTGATAATAGTGACATCAAATTGTTTTTTTAATAATATCATAATACTAATCCTAATCCTAGCAATAGTGTTAGAATGATTCCCTGTGCTGAAATCAGCAAGGGAATTCCTTTTGGACACATCACAAGAGGTATTTCCTTGTTGTCCCGTGTAACAGAACTATGCTTTTGCCCATGCTTTTTGCCTGGACTTAAATAACAACGCTGCTGGATGTATTACACAAAAAGCGAATTGCTATTTTCGTGGAAATATTCCTACTAGAGAATACAGCCCAAAATACCGACCACCCAGGGGAACAGTTAATTGGTATTTTACCTCCCAGCGCTTGTGGAGCCGTTCGCATGATTCATACGAATTCCTTTGTGCTCAGGTTAGATGGCCGCCATTTCAGGACTTTACACGTGTTCGCGGCCATCTTACGCGCGAACGGCGGTGTTTGCCTGTGAACGCATGGAACTAAAAACGGATACGCAAACAGGCGAACACCGCTGAGACCTCCAGGAGCTCATAAGTTCGTGCTGGAACTACCGAACAACCGGCTGTTCGGTAGTTTTGTTTAAGCTCTCATAGGGATTCCAGCGAACACCAGGATGACTGTGGATGGCAAGCGGTTCGTGGGGTTTTAATGCACGAATGGAGACCGACCGCAAGGCCAAAACTTATGGAACTCTTTTCGGCTAGAAAACCTGTGCGGTCGGTCAAAACTTCAAAGATCCATAACTCCCGAGATATCTATTTAACCTGCTCACACCAAGATGCAGCAGTGGAGGATTTAACGCCCCACTTAAAGAGCCAAAGCTAACTTTGAGCATTGTATGTAGCTGCTCGGTCAGTAGGGGGACCTTATGGTCCCAGGAGACAGATGGGAGCCACAGATATCTATTTAACCTGCTCACACCAAGTTGCAGCAGTGGAGGATTTAACATCCCACTTAAAGAGCTGTATGCATTACTCAGTTTGAGCACTGCATAGAAGTCACAAGTCAGTGTGGGGACACTAATTCTGTTACCAGCAGACAAACAGTACCTGCTTGTAAAATATTGCATGATGGAATCATTCCATCATGTTTCTTTAAGGGAAGAATAGATAGAATAATTATGTTAGATGGTTAAGGAGTTAAATTGCAGAAACTCACACCTCTGTATCCTCCAACTGGGTTCCTCCATCTTAACTCTCTGGCAGTTATTATTATAGACTCTGCCTTTTGCTCTTGACAGTAAGCCTGGGCTAATCTAGATTCTAATGCAATTTGACAATTTTTTCATTTAAATGTAAAAGAAAACTAAGCATTTTGTTAAAAATATCAATACATGTTATAGGTGATTTTCAGTGTTTTATTCAATGATGTAAACTCCAGATAAGCAATAGTTCTATATTCAATTTAGAGTCAAGATGTAAATATCAAAAAGAGCAGGCCTTTAAAAAGCTAATATTGCTCTTTCACCCTCCCACTGGATGACTCCTTGTTTTAGTAGAGAACAATGATTATGCACATTTATTACATAATATACAGTATTTGGATTCTTAGAAATATCCAACTCTTAAACTACCTCTGTTAGAAAAACATAGAAATAAATGTGTTTCTGAATACAGTGTATATACAGGTGGGAAGCATTAGAGGCTTGTTAGCGTGTTCTTAAATATATCACTGCTAATCAAACACATTCATTTAACGAAAATTGTTCCAGGTGCAATATTACCATAATGGTTACAATTTTTAAAGCACCTGCTAACCATAAAAAAATGGTCATTCCTAAAGTATTGAAATGCACTTATGAGTTGCTTTTGTTAATATAAGACTCGAGTAAAATTCAGCAACATGTTAGTTACACATAGTAAAGAACTGTATGCCTATGCGCAGATCTCTTATATTAAATCACAGAACAAGATAGTGAGCGATCCTAGTACAAGAATATTGATACTTTGTACATTACACATTTATTGGAGGTCAGAATTAACCACTTAAACAGATAGATCATGTCCTTAAATAGACCCTCTAACTCCCAGAATGTCTACAGCTTAATGTAGTGGTTCTGGTGCACAGAGACTGTCTCTGAGGTCTCTCTGAGGAAAGAGTGCTTAAATGCGTGCTTAAGGACACCAAAAGTAGTTGGATCTCAGACAGTCACTAGTGGTGCCTTCTGTTGTGGTTCTGCAATGTTTGCAGGTCTTATGATTGTCATCTTCACACTGCTATAGAGATGAACGGCTCTAATCCATCTTTAAGAGGAGATGCTAATTGAAGCATCATAGTAATTGCCAGATATACACTATAGTGCTCCCTAAGAATTAGATTGGTTGAGATCACAATAATGATTTCAGCCAGTGGAGCAATGTTGGCTGAAACAAGACTGGTCCAGCAACTAAAGAAAGATATGTAAAACTACTATATTTAATCTTTACAAAAGAGCTGAATAGTCTAAAGAGACAGGAAAATACACTACCATAAGACATACACGTTTGCATTTTTGTAACATTAAATAGTTCCTTTAAGATGTACTTTCAACTAAAAATACATATGTGTGGAAGATCAGGATTTGGTTATTAAATCAATAGACAATTGCTATGATTTAACAGTTATATCTACACAATATCACAGTCAAGTAGGTGCAAGTTTAATATATTAACTTCAAATTAAGGTACTTTAAAATGTATCATCATTAATAAAAAATAGTTCTTAACTATGTGAATATGCCAGTTTAAACAATTGGAAACAATTTCCAATGTTCCCAGTGTAAACAATTTCCAATGCATGCTCCACATATGTCTGTGTGTATCAAAAAAAAACATACATCCAAGTCATTCATTATGTCACACCTTTTTAAGAGGCACATGTAATAAAAATATATTTTAGAATTGCACCTCAAGTTTACAAAAATGATTGTTGCATATTACACATAGGACAACCAATCAAAACCAACATCTAAACAACTAACCCTTTAGTAGACCTGTAGGACATGACTCTGCTAATTATAGTACAGGTATCCCTAGATTTACCTGAAGAGAAGCTGTCAGAAATACTGCTGCCATTGTCAGATATATTTTGCTGTTAGAAAGCCACCTGCTCATTCAAGATAATTTGTGGAGACTATTGGTTCATCCATAGCCGCTACTCTTGTATCCAACCCTGTGCAGCTCACTGGTATCTGAACCATTCATATTCATACTTGCTAATTTTACCTGCCCACTTTCTGAGATTGAGGTGAGCAGGCAAGGGAGCAGTCTTACAAGGTCACTGTGCAATTGGTGAGACCAGTCATAAAAGGGGCAGACCACCCCGGCTCAATGAGATCTTGCCCACTCAAAGCAGACCGTGCCTGGAGTGCTGCTGAAGTACTCTGTGCCTTATCCCAGTGTCTAGTCCCTTTATGTATCTTAATATATGCAAATCAGTTATGCAGGAAAAGTACCTCAAAATTCAGGACTGGTACAGCAAATTCAGGACTATTGACACCAAGCTTGATAAAGGCCTCTGTGTAGGCCAAAACGTTGCACTTTTTGTTTTAATAAACCCGCCTTCATGCAACAATCTGGAGTGCCTGGACCTAATTTAATATATCTACTATACTAAGTTTTGCCAACTCTGCCCCTGATAAGCACCTGTATTCCTAAGTGTGACTGCAATATCCTCCATTTGTGAATTATTAATGTTCTGTGAGACATTAGTAACTGTGGTAGGGACAGTATATTGATAATTTTAACTGATATTGTATAGTTGTGCATATGTACTGACTATGCCAATTCTCATCATGGGAGGGGCATTGCATTGTACATTATAGTGCTACTGACAGTTGTTTTTGGTAAAGATTTTTATAATAAATATGTTTTTCTACTACATTTTGCTATTCCCATGATGTATGCACTTTAATATCTCATTATTAGCTCTCATATTCAAAAAGAAAAAGTTTTATGTGTAAGAAGCTTAATTTATTAAAACATGTGATTTCATCGAACAATCATATATTTCTAAAGAGTAAAGCAGTCAACACTGCTTAGTTTTATCACTGGCCTGTGAGGAAGCACAACATAAATCAAGGTTAGAAGAGTGTTTATTGAGCAAGCAAATAATTTAAAAGTGCAGACAATATGAACTGGCATCTCTGGAGAACAATTAAACATACTGTATAATGCATGACTATTAAAATAGAAAATATAACTGGTAAAACACTTACCAAATATGTATAATCATTTTAATAATAGTGATAACTAACGAGTTATTAACACACATGTTTGTGCATAGCTTGACAATTGTAGCATTGGCTACCAGGTTGTATCTACCACATGGCACAGACATAAAAAAGACCACAGCCATTTCATTTATTTATTTATTTAATTTGCCAAAATTTGGTTATTGTCCCCATAACATCACATATACATTAAACCTAATAACCTAGGCAATGGCCACCACAGGGTTAACATAACCATGAATAACTTGCATAACATAATTAACATAACAATGTAACCTTTTCCAGCACCCAGCTTGCTCCCAGGTGTAGAACAGCTCCAACTGCTGGGACAGAACCTCTTCTGGCTCACCTTCTCTCATCAAGCCTCCATTAGGCTATCACCAAATCCTCATTGTGAGGCCATCTACTATCCCCAGGAGCAAGCTACTGCCAATGCCTTAGTGGATGACCCCTTACTCCACTCGGGCTCCCCCACCCTTCAAAAACAAGGCCTTCCTGTAAGCTGAGCAAAAAGAAGTCCCAACAAGTGTACCCTATCAGCAGCACCAAGGCCGGTCCTATCGCTCTCCAGTGGGTGATGCCGTACCACTACCACCTTTAATTTCCTAACAAAAATGGCCATCAACTTATTCACCTTTCCACTGCTGTGCTCCATCGCGTGGACATCCTGCACAAACCAAACCACTGTCAACCCAGAGACCAGTCCCACAATACTCTGCACATCCTTCTGCATTGCGAATGGACCGCAGCACCAACGGTAAAACCCCTTCCCACTGCATACCCCTAAACTCGAACCACATCACCTGTAACAGCTCCGCTGGAAAGCTGCAGCTCTCCTCTCAGACAGTACAGGAAGGAGTAGCCAATGATCCAAGCCATGTACTGCGCCCCAAAAACAAGAGGAAAGGGGAAAACCTCCAGGGAACTTAAACAAGAACCACACTAGGGCATCTGACAAGTGTCATGATAGCCCTTTTATAGTGTGGGTTCTTTGGCTTTAATTTCGTAGCCACGCCCCCAAAAAGTCCGGGAGCGTGGCCACGTTTGAATTTTGGCGCCATTTTTACTCCGACGTCGGCGCGCATGCGCCGCGTCATAAATGTGGGCGTGTTCCGAGCGGCCGGCGTCAGAATAGCTGAGCCGCCCCCCATAAGTATCGGAGGAGGACCTGGCGTTGCGTGGGACCGGCGGGGAAAGGTAAACGCTCGTTACAGTACCCCCCCTCGAGAACCGCCCACAGGGCGGGTGGAACCGAACCCACAAGAGCGCCGCCTCTCAAATAGACGAACCAGACGAGGGGCGTGAACATCAGATGCATCGACCCATGATCGTTCTTCGGGACCGTACCCTTTCCAATCAAGGAGATATTGCAATTTACCCTGAGAAATCCAGGAATCTAATAAAGATTTAACTTCGTATTCGACATGATCCTCCACGGGTGCGGCAGGAGGAGTGGAGATATTCTGAGTATAACGATTACAAATGAACGGTTTGAGAAGGGAAACATGAAAAGCGTTAGGAATTTTCATAGTATTTGGCAATCTCAAACTATAACAGACCGGATTGATGCGTTTGAGTATCTGAAATGGGGAGCAAATTTCATCGAGGGTACCTTTAACTTTATGTTGCGGGTACTTAACCAAACCCTGTCACCTGCCACGAGCGTAGGAGCAGCCCTACGCCGTCTATCCGCATTCCTCTTTTGAATCTGAGTCTTTTGAGTTAAGATATGTTTAACCCCTAGCCAAGTTTCTTTCATATTGTGAAGAGTGCTGTCAACACTAGGCACTCCTGTAGATGAAAAAGAACTCGGCAAAGTTGTAGGATTAAACCCATAATTAATAAAAAAGGGACTATGTTGAGTGGATTCGTGCATTAGATTATTATGGGCGAATTCAGCCCATGGAAGTAGTTCCACCCAATCGTCTTGGTGCTCAGAAATGAAACAACGGATGTATTGTTCCAGGCATTGATTCATCCTTTCCGTAACCCCATTAGATTGGGGATGGTATCAAGAAGAAAGGTTAAGGACAATACCTAATTGGTCACAAAATGCCCTCCAGAACCGTGAAATGAACTGTGGACCCCTGTCAGATGTAATATCTTGAGGTATGCCATGTAAACGTACTACCTCTTTTATGAATAAAGAGGCCAGTTCAGAAGAGGAGGGTAATTTGATTAGCGGGATGAGATGAGTCATCTTAGAGAATCTGTCGATTATAGTCAATATAAACCTATGATTCCTGGAGGGAGGTAGATCCACTATAAAATCCATAGCAATACTTGACTAGGGTTTATCGGGAATGGACAATGGCAAAAGGAGGCCCAAAGGACGACCTTTGGATGACTTCGTGGAAGCACAGACCCTACAAGCAAGAATGAACTCGCGAACGTCCTTCTTGTATGAAGGCCACCAAAACTGTTCTTCGAGTAAAGACTCAGTTTTGTGAATGCCTGGATGCCCTGCTAATTTGGAGTTGTGTACAAGGAATAAGACCTTCTTCCTATAAGCCAAGGGTACGTGTAGTTTTCCCCTGGGAATAGTCAATGAGGTCTGATCCTGAAACCTAGATAACTCCTCCATTAACCCTGAAGAGATTTTGGCACGGACGGTTGCGATTATGTGGTTGGATGGGATTATAGAAGAGAAATGAGTTACTGTAGGTGACAAGTGTTCATATTGACGGGATGATCCTGGTCTGTAAATTACTATGTAATTGAATTGTGTTAAAAATAAAGACCATCTAATCTGTCTGTCTGACATTCTTTTAGTTTCTCCAAAATACGAAAGGTTTTTGTGATCCGTAAGGATGGTGATGGGAATGGTAGACCCTTCTAACAGATGGCGCCACTCCTTGAGGGCAGAGATAATAGCCAATAACTCCCTGTCCCCAATGTCATATCTCTTTTCTGTCTCAGTTAATTTCTTAGAAAAAAATCCACAGGGATGCAATGGTTGATCATCAGATGGACGTTGAGACAGTACCGCTCCAATACCGGTTTCTGATGCATCCACCTCTAATATAAACGGACGAGAGGGATTGGGATGCCTCAACACCGGTGCAGAAGAAAAGGCCAATTTAAGTCTCTCAAAAGCTTCCTTGGCCTCGAGATTCCATTCCATAGAATTTCGCCCCTTTTTGGTCATGGCAGTGATAGGTGCAGTGATAGAGGAGAAACCCTTAATACATTTTCTATAATAATTGGCAAACCCCAGAAAGCGTTGGATAGCTTTGAGTCCAACGGGCAGGGGCCAATTAAGGATAGCTTCTAGTTTTTTCTTATCCATTTGAAATCCAGACCCTGAAATTATATAGCCCAGAAAATGCACAGTGTCTATATCAAATTGACATTTCTCTAATTTACAGTAAAGTCCATTTTCTAAGAGTTTAGAAAGAACCAACCTAACGTGAGTATGGTGGTCTTTAATATTCTTGGAGTAGATTAGAATGTCGTCTAAGTAGACAATAACAAACATCTGTAAATATTCCCTTAAAACATCATTAATGAAGTCTTGAAAGACTGCTGGGGCATTACATAACCCGAATGGCATGACCCTATACTCGTAGTGACCATAGCGAGTATTAAAAGCAGTCTTCCATTCGTGCCCTTTTTTAATCCTGACTAGATTGTATGCTCCCCTCAGATCCAATTTCGTAAAAATAGTCGCCCCTTTTAATCTATCGGAAAGTTCTGTGATTAAAGGAATAGGATAGGCGTTACGTATAGTTATTTTGTTTAAACCCCGATAATCAATACAGGGCCTTAAGTCCCCTTCCTTCTCGGAAACAAAAAAAAACCCAGCGCCAGCAAGGGAGGAAGATTTAGTGATAAACCCCTTTATTAAGTTTTCCGTGATATATTCATCTAGTACCTTATTCTCGGCTACCGAGAGGGGATAAACTTTGCCTCTAGAGGGCATAGTGCCGGGTAATAAGTCAATGGACAGTCATAGGACCGGTGTGGAGGTAATTTTTCTGCCTCTCTTGGTTCAAAAACTGCTTTTAAATCCCAATATTGTCTGGGTATCAGAGTGGTTAAAGGTTCCATAGTAGGTACATTAAGTAGACCTACGTGTTTAATAGGGGTAATACATTTTCTGCAGCAAGTCTCACTCCATTTTACAGTTTCTTTTTTCTCCCAATCTATAGAAGGGTTATGTTTAGAGAGCCAAGGAAAGCCAAGAATAACCGGGAAGATGGGAGAAGTGACTTGTTGCAGGATAATAACCTCCTTATGCAGGGAACCTACGGACAATACCACTGGAAGAGTCTCTTGTGTGATAAACGGAATAGATAATGGTCTACCATCTATGGCCTCAACGGCCAAGGGTGTTGATCTGTTTTGAAATGGAAAAGCATGTTCCTGACCGAATCTATGATCAATAAAAATTTCGGCCGCCCCAGAGTCTATTAAGGCAATGGTTGGCACTTTTTTCTTTTCCCACTCAATAACAATAGGTAGAAGAAGCCTATGATCTTTTTTATCATTAAAGGAGGACATACACATTACACCCAAGACCTGTCCTCCATGAGGGCTTAGGTGCGGGAGTTTTCCGGACGGTTAGGACAGGTTGAACGAGAATGTCCCTTTCGGCCACAATATAGGCATAGTCCCTCCCTACGGCGGTATTGTCTTTCATCCTCAGACAAACGCGTAACTCCCAGTTGCATTGGTTCTGGAGGAGCGACTGTTGTTGTCTCGGATGAAGGATAGGTTAATGCTAAGCGTTCTGGCACCCGTCGAGGTCTGTCTCTAGTATTCTGCCTGTGTCGAAGACGCTCATCAATGTGGGAAAGGTATGTGATCAATTCCTCTAGCACATTGGGTAGGTCTCTAGTGGCAACTTCATCTAGGAGTTTATCTGAAAGCCCGTTCATGAATACGTCAATAAACGCTTGTTCATTCCATCTAACTTCGGCCGCATGGGTACGGAATTCTAGAGCGTAATCAACAAGAGAACGAGAACCCTGTCTCATACGTAGCAAGGTCTTGGCAGCATTAGTTCTCCTCCCTGGAGGATCAAAAGCCCTCCTAAAAGCTGCGACAAATTCTACATAGTTAAACACTACCGGGTTATCATTCTCCCACAGAGGATTCGCCCAAGTCAATGCCCTATCAACCAATAAAGTGATGATGTAACCTATCTTTGCCCTATCTGTAGGGTATGCTCTCGGATGAAGCTCAAAATAAATACTAACTTGGTTCAAAAAACCTCGGCAACCCTTAGGATCACCCCCGTAACGGAGAGGGGAGGTAGCATGATTAGGAGTACCCATAGTAACCATTTCCATGGGTTGTTCCTGAGGTCTGAGTACTGGGGTTTGCTCCTCCGGTTGGAGATGGGCAGTACGAGCTAGCAAGGTTTGTACCGCAATAGCGAACTGGTCCATTTCCTCAAACCGGTCATCAGGTGCTGGCCCGAGAGGGTTAACACCTGCAGGGTCCATGGCCCTAGTGTAATGTCACGACAGTGACCAAAGTCACAACAGTGACCCCTTCACACAGAGTGAAACCCACAGAAAGACGGTTACCGGACCTTAGAATGGCCGGACTAGCGTCTGAGAATAGTCAAAGAAATAGCCAGAGGTCAAGGGAATACGGAAGACGGGCACACGATTATCCAAGCCAAGATACGGGAAACCAGAACACAGAATAGTCAGAGAGATAGCCAAGGGTCAAATACCAGGAAGGACAAATAGAAAAGATAGCACCAGGGAACTTAAACAAGAACCACACTAGGACATCTGACAAGTGTCATGATAGCCCTTTTATAGTGTGGGTTCTTAGGCTTTAATTTCGTAGCCACGCCCCCAAAAAGTCCGGGAGCGTGGCCACGTTTGAATTTTTGCGCCATTTTTACTCCGATGTCGGCGCGCATGCGCCGCGTCATAAATGTGGGCGTGTTCCGAGCGGCCGGTGTCAGAATA